CCCCAAAACCCCAAAACCCCAAAACCCCAACATCAACATCACAAATTGAAAATTATCCAATTCCTCTTATCCAGGTCCAACCTTCGGTATATCAAATGTGTCTGTCATCTTCTCCAAATAATTGCTAAATGCTAAGCCATCAGTGCTTACTCTACATAATCCTGGACCTTCTCACGATGGGACTTCAGCAGGTTGGTCTTCCCTTCCTTCGTATTGAACCTTCTCTGTTTCTGGATCTCTTCAAATCTGAGCTCAGCAGCTGTCTTCTTTGTCTATAAGGAAGGAAGTTAGGTTAGAAAGGTGGGTTAGGCACTTACAGTTGAGATAAAGTCTTCGGCTTGGTCCACAAAGACATCTATAGGTTAGAATTTGAGTTATTACTCAAAAAATTTGAAAAGCTATAATACATTGATTCACGAAGTCAATAACCATAAGAGTACCTAGCCTGAAGAGAACAGGCTAGCTGGAAAATGTATTTATAGATTATTTGTCTTCTAAAAACTTAGATAGATACCATTTTAGACCAAAAATACCATCTAAATACTAACCTCAAATCTCTTACAAAGACCCCAGATTTTCACTGACTATCCCAAAGAACACCACTCAAATCCCTCTTCTAGGTACCCCCTAAAATACAAAAACTACTCTAAACAAACCTCAGAATCCATTCTTTTGCTCTAAACCAACCAAATCGAGATAATCCCACAAGCATACAAATAAACAGAAGGGTGGGGCCTCCAAAAATACTTGTAGAAATGTTGCAAAAGAGGAATACCTAAGCTATGAATCCCCTTAGTGAAGAAGCCTCCAGTAGTTTATACTACAATACCTTCGATCCCTCCTTTCTGTTCTTCAGTTTTAGAGGCCTCTTCTATCTTTGAAGAGGACTTAAGATCTCTTTTTCTTAACTCTTTGGATTTCTTTGACTTTTTGGACGACTTTGACTTTTTATCCTTCTTGGACTTTCCTTCCTTTTTAGATTTTTTATCCTTTTTTTCCTTCTTATCTTTTTTATCTTTCTTATCCTTTTTGTTCTTTCGCATACTATAAACTTAGAACCAATAAAGCTACTTCTTTGCGATATTGGGAGGTCGTTTGAGCTTCAGAGCTCCACCAACAACATTCATTTTGTCCAATTTTTTAAATCAATTATTATAAATATCTAAGGGGTTTTGGGGTTTTGGGGTTTTGGGG